TTWAAGCCATTCCCCTTGTCCTRTTGCTACAYAACCTTGTAAAAAGCCCTTCCTCAGCTCTCTGGCAGCCCCTCTTGGTCCTTCAAGTACCTCCAATGGATTTCACAGGTGTGTTAACTGTGTGAAATTCTCGTCTGTGCCGACCCTTCCCTTGCAGCCATCCTGACAATCCTTGGGAATTCAGCTGTCCTTGCCACGGCCGTGAAACGCTGCTCCCTCCTCAAGTCGCCGGAGCTGCTGACGGTGAACCTGGCGGTGGCGGACATTGGGATGGCCCTCAGCATGTACCCACTGGCCATTGCATCTGCCTGGAACCACGCCTGGCTGGGGGGAGATGCCTCCTGCGTTTACTACGCCCTGATGGGGTTCCTGTTTGGGGTGTGCAGCATGATGACCCTGTGCGCCATGGCCGTGATCCGATTCCTCGTCACCGACTCCTCCAAATCCAACAGTGAGTGAATCTCCTGTCTGCTCACCCTGTCCTTGTGTGTGTGGGCTGGGCTGCTCAGGGAGGTGCTTTGTGGAATGTGGCGTGGAGTATCAGGCCAGTGACAGCAAAATAAGCCTCAGCTTCCAGTGCAATATCAAATCCTGGTGTTCCCAGAAAGGTCTGATTAAATTCTTTGTGACACGGTGAGGGTTTTCACTTCTCGGTTATCCCAAGTGAAACTACCTGAGAATGGAAAACACAAATGTTTTCCTGCACCCAACTGCCTTCCCTTCCTATTTGTATCCAAGCAGATAGACTGGAGTTTGAAAGGCAGGAATATTCTTGCATTCCTGGGCTGGGATCACAGCACATTAGAGGTGAAATTGATCCTGTAAAGCTCCCTGCCTTACTAATCTCTAGATGAGCACTGAGGGCTGTGGTCTCACCAACCCATGGACACTCTCTCTAGAAGGCCAAAGCTTAAGAAACTTGAGCAGCAGCCCAGGTGTCTCTGTAGGCACCATCCTCCTGCTTGAAGAGAAGTTATACAAATCCCATGTGGCTGGGATGAGATCCGCACACTCTTCCTCTTCTTCCTCCTTCTCACAGGTAACAGAATCACCAGGAGCACTGTCTGTGTGCTGATTGCTTCCATCTGGCTCTACTCCCTGCTCTGGGCCATCCTGCCCTTGGTGGGCTGGGGCTACTACGGCCCCGAGCCCTTCGGCATCTCTTGTACCATCGCCTGGAGCAAGTTCCACAACTCCTCCAATGGCTTCTCCTTCATCCTGAGCATGTTCCTCCTGTGCACAGTCCTGCCAGCGCTGACCATCGTTGCCTGCTACCTGGGGATCGCCTGGAAGGTTCATAAAGCATACCAAGAGATCCAGAATATTGACAGAATCCCTAACGCAGCCAAACTGGAGAAGAAGCTGACCCTGGTGAGTTATCCCCATGATGGGAAGAGTGGGCAGTAATCAGGAGTTGGCAGAGAGMTGGCTCTGCTCACGGAATCGTGGCATCACAGAGAGCTACACMAAAATTCTATATGGAAATGGGAATTTAGTACATTAATATTAAATATTAATATATATGTTTTCAAATGTGCATTTCAATTGTGCATTTTGTGGAAAAGCAGAAATAATCCAAGCTTTCTAGAGGTCATAGAATCATGGATCATTAATGTTGGAAGAGATCTCTAAGATCATCAAGTCCAGCCATTAATTGTCTGTGTCCAGCACTGACAGGTCCACCACTAAACCATGCCCCCAAGCACCACAGCTCCACATTTTTTGTAACACTTGTRGGGATGGTGACTCCACCACTACCCAGGGCAGCCTGTCCTGATGACTGACAACCCCTCCAGTGAAGAAATGCTTCCTGATATCCAATCTAAATATCCCCTGGTGCAACCTGAGGCCACTTCTTTCATTTTATAACTGGGGGCAAAGCCCGACCCCTATGTGGCTCCACCCTCCTGTCACAGAGTTGTGCAGAGCCAGAAGGTTCCCCCTGAGCCTCCYTTTCTCCAGGCTGAGCYCCCTCAGYTGCTCCTTGTGCTCCAGCCCCTTCCCCAGCTCCGTTCCCTCCCCTGGACATGTTCCAGCCCCTCGGTGTCTCTGTTGCCATGTGGGCCCTGTGTTCCCTTCCAGATGGCCGTGCTCATCTCAGTGGGGTTCCTGAGCTCCTGGACACCCTATGCCGCTGCCAGCTTCTGGTCCATCTTCAACTCCAGCGATTCCCTGCAGCCCGTGGTGACGCTGCTGCCCTGCCTGTTCGCCAAATCCTCCACAGCCTACAACCCTTTCATTTACTACGTCTTCAGCAAGACTTTCCGCTGCGAGATTAAGAAGCTGCAGTGCTGTTGTGGCTGGCGGGTTCGCTACTTCAGCTCCGACAACTCGGTGGAGATCGCCGTGTCCACCACGTGGGGCGGGAGGGACAATGTCCATGTGTCTGTGGCACCAAAGGCAGAGAGCCYGGGGGCTGCAGCTCCCTGAAATGCAGCCAGGGATTCACAGCACAGGTCAAACCTGGCCTCGCTCCCAGCTCCAGAGGAGTAAGGATGCAGCAAATGAGGCTGTCAMTGCATATCTTATGTCATTACAGAGGTTTAAGTATATGTATTTTTAGCAGCTCTCAAATATTGTCTTTAAGCCTCACAGTGCAGAAAATTAAATCTATTTTTCCCCAAGAAATTCCACTTTAGAGGAAATAGATTTATGTACCAAACATAGCATCATGTAAATTAAACTTATTTTCAGGTAAATGGAGATGTAATATTTTTGTGGGTTTTTTTTCCTATGCTTTTGATTTTTTCAATGCACTCTATCTGCAAGCTCTTGGCTCTTCCAGTAAAACATCASAGAAAGCCATAGGTTGCCCACAGTGTTACCAAATAAACACAGCTGAGGGTGTAGTTTTCCAGCAATACAGATTGGAAGCCATATGGGGAGCAAGAAATATTCACTGCCAGGAAAAGGTGAGAATGTGGCTGCTCTTAAAATTATGTGGAGATCTCTGGTTCCTTGCTCAGTCAGAGGTGCAGCTCCAACTGCAAACAGCAATCCAAGGAGTTGAGCAGCATTGACCAATGCTTGGTGGGAATGTGGCAGCCAGTGAAGGATTCCTTTTGTGCATCCCACAGGGCACGGTGGAAGTGAAGGGAGCTCTCAGCAGGAGGAGCTGTGCCCTYGGGCTCTTGYTGGCTGAGGAACAAYAGCTCTTCTGCCAYGGAAGCTGTTGGAGSGTTTGGTTTAGAATTGCAATTRTTAWKGTTGGAAAAKACCTTTAAAATCAAATCCAACCATCAGCCCAGCACCACCACCATGGTCACCACTAAACCATGTCCTCAAGTGCCACATCCACACATTTTTGGAACASTTCCAGGGATGGKAACTCCATCACTTCCCTGGGCAGCCTGTTCCAGTGYTTCASCACCCTTTCTCTGGAYGTGTGCTCTGCATAGGATGGCACAGGGCATTCCCCAGGTAACCTTTATCCTGCAAATGCATTCCTGGCTCTCCTGGCTTCCATGGGAGCTCCTGAGATCCAAAATTCCCTTCTGACTGTGGCACTGACATGACTGTAACTGAGAACTGTGTTTTGCTGAGTTACTCAGTACATAACACCAGATTTAACCAAAGAGCTTCTCAAGTGGGAATGATGAGATCCTACAGCTTAAATTTCTCTCTTTCTGACTTACTGTTTATGATTTTAAAGGACATAAGCACCTCTATCCAGGATTTGAAATGTTGGACAGAATATGGCTTGGCAGCTGCAGCAGTTCTGACTTCCCCTGACTCCACAGAATCACGGAATGTTTTGGGTTGGAAGATACTTAAAGCTCATCTGGTCTCACTCCCCCTGCCATGTGCAGGGACACCTTCCAGTGGAATCTTCACTAAATCTTTGCATTAGGCTTGGTGAAGACAATAAAACGCAGATTTTAAACAACCTAAACCAACAGCAAAGGGACTCTGAGCTCTTGATATGTCAGCATTTCTCAAATCAAAGTGCTGAAGGATTCACTCACAGCTCTGCTGAAAAGGTGATCTTGCCTGAAGACTTCTAGGTCTACTATGACTGTCAAAAAAATCAAGTTCTCCACATGCAAAAGAGACAACCAAAGAGCTGCAACCGTTATTTTATTTTTCAGTATATCTGGAAAAAAACCCCAAACACACTTATTTGAATTCCCTTCACTTGCTGAAGTGACAGTTCTAGAGATAAAATTTCCGTATGGATACCTATATAAATAATCCTCAAATAGAACAAGCAGAGAGTTTAGAACTTTCTTAGAAAGCACAAAACACGAGGCCAGGGGGCAGTGGGAGCAGAGATTTGTGGTTGGCCATCCCTTGCTGACAATCAAGTGGTCAGTGTAAGGCTGCTGAGTTGTGACATTTTGGTCACATGGATTGCTGCCTCTTCTCCAGGCACTTCTCAATATCATCCAACACTTGCACAGCTGCTTTTGGAATGCGAGTCCCTGGACCAAACACATTGGCAACTCCGGCTTCATACAGGAAGTCATAATCCTGTTGGAAAAGAGATTAAAGATCTATAGTTAACAGTGCAMCAGACATTGGTAAATGATTTACAACTGATGTTTGCTCTGTCCTGTATGCTGGGCCTGAAAAAACAAGTCCCAGAGAAAGGCAGAACAGCTTCAAGGAAATGGGAAAAGTGTGAAAGTTAGGAGGTAAAAAAGAAATACCAAAAAATATCCATGGGAAAGGTTTTATTTCTTTAGAGTCAAACTAATTCCAATTCTTTGAAAGTATTCAAAAGTCAATTGGATGTGACTCTGAATAATCTAATCTAAATTTGACCAAACTTCTAATTTTGAAACAACTCTAAACAAAGACTTGGAGCAGATGACTGCCAGTGGTCTCTTGCAGTCTAGAGTTAATCTAATTTTATGACTGTTCTGAATTTTCAAAAAGACTTGGAAAGCAGTTCTGTRTTCTCTCTTTCTTCTACACAGGATATATTATACCTTTACTAAGCACAGGGTAGTAGCATCTCATTAAGAAATACTGGACAGAGCACTAATTGTCTCCTAGAAAAATACTATGAGTTTTGCTTATTCAATTTAAATCTGTCATTCCTGAATACTTACTTAACAGTCCAGAAAAGGGAGAGGTGTGGAAAAAGGGAACAAGAGATTTATATGCAAAATCAATTTGAATCATTCGAAACAGAGGGTGACTCTAGAAGCGATACAGATGGGCAAATTGTGGATGAGCTAAGGAAAATGCAAAGATAAAAGCACAGATCTGATTGGAAAGAAATCCAACAAACTGTTCAAGAGTTTAGGAGAAAGCAGAGGGAATGAGAGGCAATGCTGGCCTGATGATGGGGAAGGTGAGGAGAGGCTGAACAGTGAGTGAGATTTGCAGACTGCAGGTGATGGRACCTGCCAGGGGCCTCTGTCACTGGCTGTGGCTCTTCCCAACTATTGCTGGTAGTCATAAAGTCTCTTAAAACAGGATCCAGCCTGGACCAGTGATATGCAAGGACTGGTGATGGGAAACAAAGAGCGTAAAGAACATCTCCCTGAGGCTCATCTTTTCACAACACAGCTGCTTTTTCCAGCCCACAAACACTCTCTGTTAAACTAGGGCATTATGTACAGAAAATCAGATCGGGGGACCCCACCTTGCAGACCTGTGCTGGCCTTGGTGATTGCACAGAGGAGCCTTCAGCACTCTGTCATTACAGAATAGAGGAAACAGCTACAACAGCWCAGACAGAGATAAATCAGTCTCTTAGCTTGATGGAAATGCTGCTGCCCCGTACCTGAGGGGGAATGACTCCTCCACACATGACCAGGATGTCGGGCCGGCCCARGGCGTTGAGCTCTTTGATGAGTTCAGGCACCAGGGTTTTGTGCCCTGCAGCGAGCGTGCTCACCCCGACACAGTGCACGTCGGCATCCACCGCCTGCTGCGCCACCTCCCGAGGGGTCTGTGTGCAAACAGAGTGTGGGACAGGGCACAGCCCCAGCCTGGAGGCTGGGCATGCATTCCAGGGAGAAGGGATGTATCTGGAATGCTCTGGGGGCTGCTCAGTCCTACCTGGAAGAGGGGACCTATGTCCACRTCGAAGCCGATGTCTGCGAATCCGGTAGCGATGACTTTGGCTCCTCTGTCGTGGCCATCCTGACCCATCTTGGCAACCAGGATACGAGGCCTGCGGCCCTCACGGTCCATGAACTTGTCAACCCTGGTTGAAAACACACATTCTATCAGTGTGAGTCACTGAGAATCACTGGAAGTATTTCCACTCTTGCTGCAAGTGTGGCATAATTTCTGTACATCAAATAAAAACATGTTCTAAGTCATGGCTTGCACACTATGTTAATATTCATGTTATTACTAAGTCACTTCTTGTATTTATCAGTCTCAACAATAAAATATTCCTCTTTTGAGAWAAAACTCCCTATTCTTCTGCTTTTTAAACATATAAAATACTGAATTCTCTGAGGGTTTGATGAGCTGAATTACAAATCACTAAAACACAATTTTTAGTTTTTAAGAATACTTATGACTGATTATTTCAAAGGCACTCGCACACAGATGGGTCCTGCACATCACACTGCATCAACATTMCACTGGGCACAGATTTGTCCATGGAAGGATTATTGCATCTCCTAGTCTGAGAACGCATTCCACTGTTTCCCTTTTTTTGGATAGTGGCAGTTCATATTTCAGTGTTTTGATGTGACTGTGCAACCACAGCCTCTGATATTAAATCTGTCATTTTACTGCTCATTATTCAACTACCACAAGGATCTGTCTGGACTCGATGATCTTAGTTGTCCTTTCCAACCGAAATGATTCTGTGATTCTAGAAAAGGGAGCTACATCTTGGTTTTCAAGGGATTAGTTCCGTTCACTTTTGCTAAAAGCATAATTAAAAATACTTAAATATTTAAARTAAAAGAAAGGTAGTGACATTCCCCAGCACAATTACTTTCAAGTCAACCTAATCATCATCACTTGGAAGTCATCAGTAATTCCCTTTCAAGAGAGCCTGAACTCTTTAAGGGGTAAACTTCAACACAGAAGGGAGYGATGATTTTTTTTTTGTGCTATGTCACCTCCCACTGCAACAATTCAGGCTCTTTACCCCTGAGGGCAGCAGTGAAGGCAGAAGCTGACAAAAGGCACAAATGGGCAACTGTTTTCACACATACCAGCATCTTTCGGATGCTTTGTCCAGCAGGATATGAGTAACACCCAAAGACTGGAAGTTATGCATGAATATCCAGAGAGATTTGAGCAACAGTTTTAGCAACAGTAAGAGTGAAATTGCAGGAACAATTTATGGGTAGATTGAAGTGAGGTTTTGTAGTATGAACTGCTGAAAAAAAAATTAGAGATGACTGTTGCACAGCCTTTAAAAGAAGCAACCAATGYACAGGGATTTCAGGCAATGTTTCTCAGTTTCTTAATCCTGTGGCCGCTTAGGYTATTTGAACAAAACCCTCAAACCATAATATACCCTCAGTGAATTTTGTTTGCAAGCAAATATAACTTCCATRTAAAGATATATATGTAAGTTATATATAAATATATAAACTTATGAGTTATATAAAATATATATATATATATAAAATATGAATATAACTTCAGTTTTGGTTATTGTCGTACTGCACTTAATGCTTGTCATTCTAYATCCTTACTTACAAGCACAAGAATGCCTTTGCAGGTCATTGTGTTACCCCAGGGATGTCACCCAGGTTTGGGAAATGCTTTTTTAGGGCACAGTCAGTAGCACATGTACCTCCTGGATTAAATGTCAGGCTTTTACAGTTTGGCTACAGTTTGGAAGAGTTCTCACCTCTTGATGGCATGCAGGATTTCATCACTCTCGCCGAACTCCTGGCGATAGGCCCCGCTCACCATGCGGTCGCTGGCTTTGTGCTCCCCAAACACCTTCTTCATGGCATCTGTTATCTCCCCCACAGTGCACCTGAGACACAGACAAAAAACATTCYTTTAGTCAGGAGGCTGAAATGAAAACAGAACACAGACATTGCTGCACTGGCCCCACCATTTGCCTTGCTGTAGGACAAATTCATTTTACATTCGTTTCCCTTTCAGTGCTGCAACTCTGAACATCTGACTCACCCCACTGATAGAGTGCAAAAGTACTTTTAAGAAAATACTTTACTGCTGATGTGAGAATTGATTTACAACTGGAAAGGCATTGGGGACYACTGAGTGACAAAATGCTTGAGAAAATTCGATTTTTGGAATGCTGATATTTTTTTTTTTTTTTGACTCAGACTGGATGATTTTGCATTTGGACTCAAACTAAAATACAAAATATAAATTAAGAGGGGACAAAAAAAAGGAAGAAGAGATTGAAGCCTAACATTTTAACTGGAATCTGTTTGCCTTTCCCTTGATGCTTTTATTTTAGTGTTTATTCTTCTCTACTCCTGACATAGCTCCTTTATCCATTGAGATGCAGAATCTGGGAAGTTTATTTACATGCAAGTTACAAGTTTTGTTTGCTATTGGACACACTGTGCACATCTGAAATAACACACTGCCCATATTTGAAATAATACACATTTTCTTGCTGTAGCACAAGAAGCAAACTAGGTTGTGCTGTCTTCTTGTACAACCATCAGAAACAACAGCCTCTATCCCAAAGCAATTAAAAATTTTGAGCTGAATAAAACTTGCTGCGAACTTTGTCAAAGGAAAGACATAAAAATACTATTCTTCTAAAACATTCTTAAAGTGTGCTTACAAATACAGAGACCAAAGCAACTACTTAAGCTAATGTTAAGCACATTTCAAACCCCAGGAATTAATATTTTTTCCTGCCATATTACATTTTTCTCTACAACTCCCYGAAAAGAGGGTGGAGCCAGGTRGGGGTTGATCTCTTCTCCCASATAACAAGTGACAGGACAAAAGGAAATTGCCTTAAGTTGCACCAGRGGAGGTTTAGGCTGGATATCAGGAAWAATTTCTTTACTGAAAGAGCTGTCAGGCACTAGGACARGCTGCCCAGGGCAGTRGTGGAAYCACCACCCCTGGAGGGATTTAAAAGATGTGTATAAGTGACTCTCAGGGACCTGGGTTAGTGGTAGGTTGGCAGTGCTGTGGTAGTGGTTAAACTCAATTATMCCAGAGGAATTTTCCAATCTTAATAATTCTGTTATTTACCTATAAACTACTCTGAGGCAAAATTAATTTAAGCATTCTGTAAAGCTTTTCTATAAAATGCTCAGGAAAGAGTGGACAAGATGCACCTTGCTGTCCAATACCTCTAGAAGGAGATRGCCAAATGAGCTGTACTCAGTTTTCCTTCTGCTGTGTGAAGTTTCAGCAGCTACTGATTCCTACCATGTGCAATCTGGCACACACATCCCCAGATTGGGGCATGGATCCAGAAAATGGATTTCTGCTGCATTCACTGAATCCTTCACTRGATTCCAGAGAGATGTTTTACTTCCTGTGACCCCCACAACTAATTTGCTCTTTTGCTGGCTTAAATTTTTGATACTCAGCATATTTGGTTACAAACTTAAACTACATGAAGTAATCCMTTTGTGATCACATGGGCAAGATCTGCACAACTCAGACGTCTGAAGTGTCCTCTTATCTCTGGTATCACTTTTCAGCCTGCTTTGCCTGAAGAGGAACACACATTTTTAACCCATGTTATTGATGCTGTCTTGGCCATTTTTGCCATTTCCCCTCCCCTGGCTTTCTGGAATTCTGTTTTACCCACTGCTACTCACTGGTATTATCAAGTTATGATTTTCTGGGCATCTAAATAATCTTATTATTTCTCTCAGTAATTACTAACAAAGAATGAAAAGTAAACTGRGTAAGTGCATCAGGTAAGGTGACTTTCCAAGGTTAAAAAAGCAAGTTTGCAGCAGCCTCAAAAATACTCACTCCTTCTCAGAGTGCCAGATACCACAGACTGCAGCCCAAAATAAATACACCCCATGCACAAATACTGAGGGCTTATGCCTGGCACTGTGGTGAAGGCCTATGGCAGCATAAAACACATCTTTTCTTCTAGAGAAAACTAAGTTTAGRTAAATCTTTCTCTTCCTCTTTTGCAGAAGCAGTATATGAGYAYACTTCAGCATTAAATAAAGCCCAGMATGTGTAGRTAAGAGTTGYGGTGTGCTTTTCTGTTCTTTCTATGTAAAAGTGTGAATGAAATTCAGGGTCACAAATAAAAAATAAATGAGGTATAACMTGGTGGCTKGGATGAAGTTGTTTTTGTGTGCTGYACAAAAATGAAATACRCTTCTTTCTTTTATAGACACTGTTTCTGAAATCCCTGTGTTTTGAAAATTGTGTCTCAAATCTCTGCAACCCTTTAAATCTGAAGTTCCGAAGTAATAATAAGAGTTTTGCTTTTAAACTACTCATGAATGCTTGAGATCAATGAACATCAAGCCAATTGATTTCTATAGGTTTTGGACTGTATAAAGTTCGGAGAAAAATCTAGTAAAATTTATGTGTGTACGGAATATTCTCTGTGGCACATCCTGGCAGAAAATAAAGAAATGCCTGATCCTCTCACACTTCAAATATAGTGTTGGAGTTTTTTTCTTTATTTTCTTCCTGATTTTCAGTGACAAATGTGTTAATTTAAAAATCTTTTCCTATGTTGWCCCCAACAGGAAGGCTCCCTGACAAGTTCCCAGAGCTCACAATCCTCCTTTAAACGCTCTGTATCAGATACCACAAACAGTTCCTTTCTGTGGTCACATCATATGTATAGTTAGGAGCAGAATTAAATTTTGGAACTTAAAAAGTGTGTGTACTTTTACAGTTAATATAAGCAAGGTCACCAAGGAGAGAAATGAGGAGTTAACTGATCAATTTTGGCACAGAAGATATGAACCCCTTGTAAATCCAACATTACCCTCCCGTGACCTTCCCAGTTCAAAGACAAATGTAGACRTACTGCTGAAGATTCCTGACAGGCTCTCTGTGGGGAAAAAATGTATTTACAATACAGTTATTAAGTGTTTTAGGAATGGGAATGACGGACTTTGAGACATGACAGTAAAAACAGGTCAGCATCCCATTGAAGAGTGAATTTGGTTTGCTCATATTTGGGGTATTTACTTAATTAAGGAATAAACAGACAGTATCTATTCTAGGGACTGATGCTGACCTTGAAGCAGGAAAGGAAAGAGCTTCAAAAGCACCATGGGGGAAAAAAAGTAACTGTTCCTCTGGACTCTGAAGGTGTCTTACTGCTCAAGAACATCTTTTACATCTTTCTCTGACTAAACAAACTGATTTCTCCTTCAATCAAAAAATGTTTTCACACCAAACTGTGATGCAAGGAAAGATGGAGCAACAGAGCATGATAAGACTGTGAATATCCATTTTCACATCTCAGACAAGCTTCTTGACCCATGAAACAGCTGGGTGACAGAAAAACCCAGTTACATCCTGAAATTGGTGAGAATATGAGTTGCAAACAGCAGAATGTGTATGAACAGTCTAATTTCATATGAGGTTTTTTACTATCTGTTATGCTCCTCATCAGAAATCAAAGCATTGCCTTAAGAAGCTGTAAAATGTAATAACAGAGTATCATACAATGTGCAACAGTAGCCATCATTGACTTCCACCTTTAAAGAAAAAGCCCAAAACTCCAACCTCATGGACACCACAYCCAAGAACAGTGAAAAGGTGAAAATAAACCATGGATTTTAAAGCAAGAATTGGCTGTTCACCCCCCATACCCAGTACCTGGCACGAGCTGCTTCCACTGCCAGAGCAAGCAGGTTGCCTTCGCCGGTGGCAGCGCACTGTGTGAGAGCAGCCAGGCTCTGCTGGGCTGCTGCTTGGTCTCTACTGGCCTTCACCTAAAGTGCAGGAGAGAGACATTGAGTTCAAACCACAGAGTGAAATGGAAAGTGTGGAACATGGTCTAATTTCAAATGTTAATTCTGGAGTTTTGGGATTGTCAGTACACATTCAATATTTCAGTAAGAATAAACTTTAAGAAGTCAGTCTCAGACCTTAAAATATGTACAAGTCCATAACTTAACTCTAAACCAATTTTATCTATATTTTACTGGTTACGAAAGTAGATGTTGAATTCTGGTTCTRTAACCCTCAGCAGCACTTGACAAGAGGCACCAAACAAACAGTTTCAGTGATTAAGCAATGTTAGAGGCTTTTGGAGCAAAACATTGCTTAGCTGGTTTCTATCTTATTTCAGGACATGTAATGCTCCCAGTTTTCAAGGGTTGGACATACATACATATACACTCTAGTGACTCTAGTTTTTACACTAAAGACCAGAACGGACTCTCAGAAATTTGGGGTCAAACTTCTGGCAAGCTGCCTTAACTCAAGCTCTGTCTGCAATTACAAGAAGCTTTATTTTTAAGAACTTTGTTCCCACCTTGTTGATTTTCTCTATCTGCTTGGCACGGACTGTAGAGTTATCAATGGCCAGAACTTCCACTGTCTCCTCTTTCTCCAGCTGGTGCTTGTTCACTCCAACAATTACTTCAGACCCTATTTCCAGTGGAAACACCACAAACTCAAAACACATTTGCAAACTACTGTGAAAAGACACAGTGTTAACAGGACAAGGAGGTTTTGAGCATCATAATGCAGTGCTTTGCTTTATAACCATACRCATTTCAAATATGTAAAAATTGCTCTTATAGAAAGGATTTTCCAGACTTTATGGTGAGAGTTGAATGGATGCATGAACCTTTAACTCAGTGAATGCTGCACCAGAAAAAAAAAAAAGAAATAGAAAAATATTTATCTTACAAACTGRTTTAGCAGTGAGTTCCTAATATACATTGGCTATTTTTCTCTTTCTAAGCTTACATAAATYAATGTTATAGCATTAAGCAGAAGTGCTGGTCACCTGCAGTGCTCTGCATTTACATTTCTAATTTAACAGATAAATAAGAAAGTGAAGTTCCCAGCTAGAACTACTCCATGTGAATAAAAATTAATTTATCATATTGGAACACTATACTTAAGTTTTCAGTCAGTATCGATTTATCAAATATTTTTATTTGCAGTGCCTGATAACATTAATATACTCTTTGAAGAAACACGAAGTAATTTACTTTGGGAGAGAAAACACAGAGCTTCACTGACTATTCTTGATTAGTCTTAACTAAGACCTGCTTCAAATTTATCCTCCGTACAAAGAGGTCCATATAACTTCTTTCATGTTTGAGTTTTCCCTAGTTTCTGTTCCTGGATTACTACTGGAATGCAGATTACAAAAAGCGGAATAGCGTTTTAAGCACACATGTATAAGTATCTCCACAAATACTTAAGTCTATGAGTACATACATATAAATACAGCAAACAAGGAGCTGTAACATCCWCTGATATCATCTGACCATTCAGGAAAAACAGGCAGTTCTCCAAAAAACCTAGGAATTTGGCCAGCTATGGTGAGTATCGCCCTCTGGTGGCATTTCTGCTTCTAAACTCAGGAATTACAGTTTAACGCTCCAATCAGAAATCAAGTGATTCACTACTGCAGGCTCCAAGCACGCCTTTAAACTGGTGTTTCTACTGCTTTGTCTAATTTCATCTTAAACATGTCAAGGAAGACTTTTCACACTGTGCTGTATTTTGTACATGCTGTCTCTTTCCAGGAGCTTTCACTGACATAAAACTATCACCATTTATTTTATTATTCACACTCTGCTACTCCTAAACGGAGAAATAAAAAACCACAATGAACACGTGTGTAAAAAMCCTTTATACTGAAGTATTCTATTGGCAATTTTCCCTTCTTTCATCTCCCTGCACCTACCAGAGTCAATCCTGGCTTGTCTCCGGGCTGCACACTCTTCAATGCGAAGTTTGGGGATCCCCTCAGCAACAGCTTTGGCCATTCCACCCATTTCTTCTATCTCCTCAATGAGCTGAGAAATGAARAGGCTTGAGAAGATGAGTAGTAGCTAGGTTTAAAAATGAGCTTTGTACTTGTGCTACTACCTAAATTTTTATTAAACCTTTTTTATACAATCCTGTGCTCTGAACTGTATTTYTGTAAGGTTTGTTTACAAAGAAATCATTGATGCATAAGTGTAAAATAATTCCTTGTTGAGAAGTTACCAAATTATCAAACAGTCCCTTAGAAGACATTTCTCAAAACTCCTAGTCCCTAAAATTTTCCCAGAGAAGGTTTTGCAAACTGACCTTTAAAGCAGCTTCATAGACATCGTTGGTGAGGCACTCCATGAGGTAAGATCCCCCCCAGGGATCTGCCACTTTGGGAATTCCTGATTCCTCCTGGATTATGATCTGTGTGTTCCGGGCAATGCGAGCRCTCTTCACTGTGGGCAGCCCCAAGGCTTCATCATAGGAATTTGTGTGCAAAGACTGAGTCCCTCCAAACACAGCAGCCATGGCTTCGATGGTGGTGCGGATGACATTGTTGAAGGGATCCTGGAAAGAAAATGGGAGCTCTGAAGCTCAGTGGGTCTGCCATGGGGTGAGGCAGGTTAGTCACACACACACTACTTCAAGGAAACAAATACAAGATTCCCCACTGAAAAACTGCAATCAGAGCAAAAGCTGAAAACAATACAAATCAAACTGATTTATCATTTTCTGATATCTTAACAAAGAGATTAATCCGTTAAGGAAGACAACTTTACCAGTGTGTGAGTAAACTGGTCAYAATAAGAAATCACAGCCTAATTTGTATTTAGTGGTGTTTCAAAGAACTCAGTGAATCCAAATCAGAGAGGATGGAATAGGTAGATGCAATGTCCTCCAGCCTCAGAAACCAGAACTCTTGGAGCAGTGAACAGCATATGTATCAGTCAAATTACTGGTCAAGATGTGTTTTGGAGCTAAATGTGCTTAAACATTTTCATTAATAACAGCATCACATAAAGTAACTACAGAAAACTGTGATTTGGATAGGTAGGAATCTAAAACAATTTGTGAGTAGATAGATACCTATCTAAAGGCATGCTAAGGGAAAATGTATTTGGCTTTTGAAACATTTAAGGAGAAGATACTGGACACTGAGGAAGTACATTAAGATAAACAACAATGCTTAAACACAGAGAAAGAGGATTTAGCCAGAAATATATTTACACTGGGCATTGGAAGACAGTTGAATATAGTTTTGGCAACAGTAATATTTTGACACTTGCACAATATTTTTAACTGGAGGACCCACAAAGGTCACTGTTCGGAAAATTCCATTGTTTTATTTTACTGTGTTGTTGTAATGTAAGTGAACATTATATTTACTGAGAAAAAAAAAGACTAAAACCAAGGCACAGAAGTCAAAYAACAATGACTGCAATCACAACCTAAAAATAACTCCTACTGCCTGCCTTTAATTGAGAAGCAGGGCTTGGAATCAGAGCTCTGGAACCCAGCTCTGACCTCCCCTGGGAAACTATATGCACTCCAATGATTTATTTTCTTGCTACAATGTAACTGAACAGGAAGAGCAGAGATTGCACCCAGTTTCAAAGGAGAAATGAGCTGTAACCATTGCTTCCCTCTTCAGCAGTGAGTATCAGGGGCATGAATGACACCTTYGGCTGCTGAAATGAATTCTCAAGCCAGTAATCCAGAGAAAAAAGAGCCTCTACTTGCTGCCTCAGCTGCATTTTTAATGGATAACACACAGAACAAATCCAAAAAGGAGCTTTATCCTTTGAGTACTGAATTAACATAAAGGTGTATCCTGTGCCAGTACATGCATTTGTCAGACTGACAGGACAGCTGCTGCACCTTTGTATCACCAGCAGTTCCCTTTCAAGACCACAAGAACACCTTTAAGTGAGGAAGCTGATGTGAGAGTACAATTTCTAACCTGTTCAGTGAGTGACCATCCTGAAGTTTGACAATGAGCTCTCAGCAAAAGAGATTTGGGATCCTTGGGTTTAAACATTTTCTCAATCAAGTGAGCCCACAGCCGCCTCCCAGCTCTCATCTTTGCTATTTCCATATAGAAGTTCATGCCAATTCCCCAGAAGAAAGAGAGCCTGTAATAAGAGCACATGAACAGAATATACCATTAAACCATTCCAATAACTCGGGATCAGTAATGGAGAAGCCCTACAGCAAGGTGTCTGATTAATGTACTTTCACAGATATTGGGGATGTTCCTACTGCTTATATGTGTAAAAATACTGAATTTAACATTAAACTCTACAGAGGTTTTATCAAAAGTGAGTTTTATATTTGCAAACTTCTTGAGCTCACCTTGGTGCAAATTCATCAATAGTGAGGCCAGCTTTAAGCCCAGTTCTGCAGTACTCCAAGCCATCTGCTATGGTATAAGCTAATTCCAGGATGGCATCAGCTCCTGCCTCTTGCATGTGATACCCACTGATGGAAATGGAATTAAATTTTGGCATATACTGGAAAAAAAAAAAAAAAGAGAAAAGAGGGTAAAACAGCAGAAGAAAAACAGAAGGAGGGATTGAATAATTCACAAATAATCTACTCATAGAATCACAGAATGGTTTGGGTTGGAAGGGAGTTAAAGGTCATCTAGGTTCAACTTCCTGCCATGGGCAGCAATACCTTCCACTATCCCAGGCTGCTCCAAGCCCCATCCAGCCTGGTCTGGAACATTCCCAAGGATGGGGCAGCCACAGCCTCTCTGGGTAACCTGTGCCAGTGCCTTATCACCTTCAAAAAGAAGAATTTCTTCCTAACATCTAATTTAAAGCTCTCCTCTTTTAGTTTGAAACTGTTCCCCCTTGTCCTGTCACTATCTGCCAGTGTAAAAAGTTGCTCCCAATCTCTTTTATAAACCCTCCTTAGGTACTGAAAGGCTGCAGTGAAGTCTCCCTGGAGCTTTTTCTTCCCCACGCTGAACACCTCCAGCTCTCTCAGGCTGTCTCCAGAGCAGAGGTGCTCCAGCTCATTCTCTGAATTCCTTGTAGACTGCACATACAACTCATCTCCACAAAGTGGTGCGTGCAGATCTAGTCTGATCTTCAACTTCAAAGTTATATTTAAGTGATGTTGGATCTTAACTTCTGCTGGTCCTTTCCACAACCACATTACTATTCTCTATGACAAGTCTATACATCTTYTCTCTGTTCTCCAAATAGTTAACTCAACCTAATAATAGAAGTAATACATTTAAATAATGAATACCTTTGAGGTGTACTGGAAGATGTCAGCAATGACCCKCATGGATGGTTCTGGGGGGAAAATGTAGGTATTTCTGACCATGAACTCCTTCAGGATATCATTTTGGATTGTCCCTGTCAGCTTGGCCTGAGGCACTCCCTGCTCTTCTCCAGTTACAATGAATGTAGCCAGCACAGGAATGACTGCCCCGTTCATTGTCATGGAAACGGACATTTTCTCCAAAGGAATTCCATCAAAAAGGATTTTGGTGTCTTCCACTGTGTCGATGGCAACTCCAGCCATTCCTACATCTCCTCGAACTCGGGGATTGTCTGAATCATAACCACGGTGGGTGGCCAAATCAAAAGCAACAGATAATCCCTGCTGGCCGGCTACATGAAGAAGAAAGAAAAAAAACCCAAAAAACAACAAAGAGATAGTCAGAAGTGTTAAACAGACTTGCATTAGGATGAGATCTATATTTATTAACTTTATTTTACATGATTCAGACTTGGATGGCAAACTAATTTTTGATGTTAAACACTGTTCTGTCCCCAAACCTGTCCAAGGTCTAGTAATCTTAAAACTTTAAATGAAAAAGCTTTTAACTAAGGAAAAAAAAAAAAAAAAAAGTAGTCTTTACTGTGCTTAAAAATTGCTGAATAAGAGTCAATCCACAAATTATAAACATGCATAGACAGGCAACATAAGAGCGTATACACAGAAACTCAGCTCAGCTTAGCTGGGAACAGAAGTGTCATAAACTCTGTCACATTACCTCCTCTTTATCACAAATTAAACACTCACAGACTGTTCCCTGGCTCTACTGACACACGTTGTTATTTGTAAATCTGCAGTAAGAGAAAATTATTTGCATAAAACAGGGAACAGAAGAGCCAGAGCTCTTGTAGCTGCAACCTGAAAGCAGAACCCAAAATTCTGCTGACCCCAGGCATTCACCCTCTGACCAGYGGTGTGCTACCAGCTAACCCCAGTTACCACTTCTGCTTCAGCTCCACAATCTCAGCTGCTTGGACCCTGGGATGGAGCCAAATCATATCTACATATTAAGGTGCAAAAACTGAAACCAGCATTTAGCACATTCATTTTCCATAGCAAAATGAAGCAAAGGCAGTTCCAGMAGTGATCCAATTTCCCAGTAATAAAGACTGTGCCAGTGGGAAGATCTTATAGGAAACCCAGATTCACAGAGCAGAATAATCACRTTTGCCATGTAACTGACTGAATTAATGTTCTCCATTGCTTCACAAGGCAGTGCTGTGTCCCAGACCAGCTGCCCTACCTTTGATGTTGTCCTTGTAGAACTTGTTGCTCTCCTCCACCGTGCTGAACCCAGCATACTGGCGGATGGTCCAYGGCCTGTACGTGTACATGGTGGGGTAGGGCCCTCGAGTGAAAGGCTTCACCCCTGGCAGCTCCTCGGGGAAGTCCTCTGTGTCCCTTTTGGAGTATAAAGGCTTGATGTCGATCCCTTCTGGGGTGTGCCATATTAAATCCTTTGGATTCTTGCCTTTCAGCTGCTTCTGAGCCAGGGCAGCCCACTCGGGGTGCAGCGGCTGCCTGTGCAGGGATCGCCAGGCCAGGAGTGTGCAGCGGCACGGCCGCAGCCGCAGGACAGCATCCCCAGCCCTCAGCATGGCTCTCCTCCCGGTGTGGGGCAAGCTGGACAAAACAAAAACATGCATTTTGCATTATCATAGGTATCTGACAYAGGAGAAGTGAGGATGGAGAGGTCAAGCAGTTTTTTAAAACCAAAACAATCATTCAGGAGAAAAACRAAGTGTGTTTATTCATTTACTGATTTGACAGACAGCCTTTCCTCTTGCTTTTCAACCACAAACAGAGTTCAGGAAAACATTTTCCACTAGCCRAGGAAAACATTCCCACAACTTATCTACATCCACATCTGAGATGTGTAACTTATTTCAGTCCTGCAGAATCATCATCATTAATCAGTCACTGAAAAGCCAGAGTAAGGCATGAAGATGGCATGCCCAGCCACMCTCTCACCCTCACATCTCCCTCATCTACAAATTCCTTAATGTCAAAGAGAGATGCTTTTCCAAGGATRGGGCAGCKACAGCTTCTCTGGGCAATCTGTGCCAGTGCYTCACCACCCTCACAGGGAAGAATTTCTTCCCAGCATCCGACATCAAAGAGGCATTCTGCAGGAAGTGGGCTGTCAGAGAATTGCTGATATATTGATACACTTTGGAAAAGGTGGGATGGAAAACAGAGAAAGGCTGAAAAAGAAAGGAAAAAACAAATATGGTATGTGAGAACACAGAGATTAAACAAGCTGCAGATCTTGTCCCACCATGCATGAGAGTGATGGGGGGATAACTTGAACCTTCCTTGTGAGGGTGAGAGGCCCTGGCACAGGTTGCCCAGAGAAGCTGTGGCTGCCCCATCCCTGGAAGTRTTCAARGCCAGGTYGGACGAGGCTCAGAGCAACTTGGGRYAGTGGAAGGTGTCCCTGTCCATGGCAGGGGGTTGGAATGRGAYGGTCTTTAAGGTCCTTTCCAGCCCAAACCAGTCTGTGAGCTTGGTAATTCCWAAAAGCTGTAAGCTCATTTGCTTCTGCTCTCTATACCCTATCTTGCACATCCTAACAAAAACAAAATCTTTACAGCCTGGCTCCAAAGGTCAGTCACCTCCTCACTGCCTCATCTCTTTCACAACTCCCAAGAAACGTGCAATTCCCAGACACCTTTATGAGAAATTCTGCATGAAACTGGACATCAGCTGTATCACTGTTTGGTGCTGCAAACTCTCCAAACACGTGCTTTAATAATATATATGCTAAGTGTGATATGCCTATAACCTGATGACCACAGAGGAGCACCTGAGGAGTGCTCATTCCCTGCAGGGATGTGATGTTGCAGCCACGATGGAAGGTAACCTGCGCCCTCACCACTGCATGGGTCAAAGAATGGGTCAGGCTGGAAGGGACCACAGTGGATAATCCGGTCACACCTCCCTGTGCCATCCCAGAGCACAGGGCACRGGATTGTGTCCAGACAGYTCTGGAATAYCTCCAGYGAGGGAGACTCCACAGTGWCGGTCACTGCACAGGGAAGTTCTKYCTCATGTTCAGGTGGAACCTCCTGAGCATCAGTCCCTGCCCGTTCCTCCTGTGCCATTGCTGGGYCCCCAAAGCAGAGCCTGGTCCCTGCTCTGAGCCCTCCCTGCAGACAGGGACACACAGGGATKASGKCCCYYCTCAGTTGTCTCCTCTCGAGGCTGAACAGCCCCAGCTCCCTCAGCCTTTCTTATCAGGGAGATGCTCCAGTCCCTTCATCATCTTTGYCATCTCYTCTGGACCCACTCCAGGAGTTCCACGTCTCTCYYGTCCSRAKGAGCCCAGAACWGGACACAKCACTCCAGACGYGCYTCAGCAGGGCTGAGCAGAGGGGCAGGATCACATTCCTGCTGRCAATGCTCTYCCTAAYGCACGCARSGATTATTCCTGCCCCGGTGCYSGACGCGGTATTTACCCTCGTTCAGTTTGAGTCAGTTCTTTCCTATCCATCTGTCCATTTCCTTCCCCGCACGATTCCCCAGCCCCGCACCCCGAGGGAACCCCAGGGCCGCCCTGTCACCCGCTGTCCGCACCTCTCCCTCCTCAGCACCCACAGGCGGACACGAACGCTCCGCTCTCCGTCCCGGGACAGCGCCCGCCGCCACCGCCCGCCCCCAACACGCCCCTCCGGCGGCCAATGGGGACGGGGGGCCGGGCCGGGGGCTGGGATGGGGGATCAGGACAAGGACAGGGACCGGGCTCGGGGCTCCGGACATGGGCAGGGGCATGGAAAGGGATCGGGACCGGGACATGGATGGGGTCCCCTCCATTACCTGCCGCCGGCCCCTCCGTCAGCGCGCGGACACCGCGCACGCGCGCTGGGCGGGAGCGGCGTTGCGCGTGCGCCGCGGGGAGCGCGGGKTTGGTAACGTCCCGGCGGGCTGAGGCGGGACAGGCGGCAGCGTTGGGAAAAGGGAGGCAGCGCCGGGAAGGTGAGGCTTGGGGCTGGATGARCCGGGAGGAGACGAAGGGTTTTGTGGAGGTGTCATCCGCGATGCTGCCCGGCAGCGGCGGGGGAGCTGGCGTTTGGGGATGTGAGGGGTGTGGGTGGGAAGGACTACATCTCCCAGCGTGCACTGCGATGGAGGAGTGAATGTTAGGCGGCGGCGGGGAGCGATGCATGCCGGGAGTTGTAGTTGGTGCTTTATTTACGGTCCGCTGCGAAAGCTGTCCTACAACATCCGTAGTTATGGAGGAGGAGAGACGCAGGACTTATTTACCTGGTTTATGGCTTATTTATCTGGTTTAGGGCTCACTTACCTGCTATGGATCTTATTTACTTGGCATATGGTTTATTCACCTCTTGTAGGCCTCACTTACAAGCCGGGGTTCATTTGTCTGGTGTCAATTGCGAGAGTTGCCTGCTGGGAATTGACAGGACCTGAGTGAGGGAAAAAGTGGCCTGAAAGGATGAGGGAAAAGCTGAATATATCTAAATGTGCTGTTTTAGGGCAGAGAAGGGTGGTGGCGTTTGTGGCTACCCCCTTCTCTGTGACCGCTTTTCTTTCTGTCTCTGTAGTAAGAAAAGAAGCTGTAGGTTTAAGCTGCAGCAGGGAGCACTGTGCTTAGGTGCTAAGGTAAAAAGTTCTGCTAGTTGGATGACTGCACTGAACATTAGAAAGATAAATCATAGAGTCACAGGATGGTTTGGGTTGGAAGAGACCTTAAAGATCATCTATTTCCAACCCCCTGACATGGGCAGGGATATCTTCCAAATGGTCTTCTTAGTGGCCCTACATTTCCATAAATTTACAGGATTTAGGCTCTAGGTTAGCAAATATTTAAACATTTTGCCTCATTTAGGCTCATTTGGGGCTTATTGGGTTGAGCCCAATGTCCATAATTTTGCTTTTTAAAGTATGATTTGTACTGTGTGGGTTCTAATTGCTGGCTTTTAATTTTGTCTTTGTTTCCTCCTGTTCCTGTTGGTTTTCAGATAATGAAACCCCACCACGCATCTTCCAAGAAAATGGGGAAACCAGCTGGTGGGAAATCAGCAAAAAATCCTTTTAAATCACAAAATCAACAAGGACTTTCCAGCACAAAAAAGAAAGCAGATGAACAAGGAAGAAAACAAGGTCAAAAAAGACAGGTATTCATTATTTTGGATCAAAGTAGAAAGGTAACAAAAGGGGTGGGAGGGAAAGAGGTATTTTTAAATTGGGAATTTATTGAGAATAATTCATTAATTAAACATAGTCCTCTCGAGGTTAAAGGCCCAGTGGGAAGAGCTTCTTTGAGCAATAAAGCTTTTTTCTAYGGTCAGTGTCAAAGACTCCTGTCAGGCCCTGACACAGTGAGTTCATAGCAAGAGAGGAATGGTTGCACAGCAGAAGATGTTTCAAAATTGCMGCATTTGCTGTAAATTTTTCTCTTCAGCAGGTCCCTCAGACAGTCAGAAAGGAAGTTAAGGAACTGAAGGACTATTCCCCTCCAGGTAGGGTCCTGTTCTTTCCTGGTTTACACCTTTGACTCTAATCTCTCTGAATTGAGTCACAAAGCTGTCTATCCAGGTTTGACAARGTCATACCTTTCCCTTTTTTCTTTTGTGGTAACAGGAGAAGATGGTTCTTCAAAAAGGGTGAAGGTGTCCAGTGCTGCAGTTGGATCTTGGCAGCCTCTTTCAGAGAACAGTAGGCTGTTTCTGGAAAATGTTGTGGAATCAGTGTTACTGTAAGTGCCAAATATCCTGGTGGTTCTTCTTTGTTTCCACAAGGAATAAAGTAATGTAAAAAATCATAGTATTACTTGAACTGGAAGCCAGTGTATTTTTTTGATGTGTGCTCTGTGCTTTCAGGCTTTGTGATGGAATTCTGCCTTTATTTTCTTTCCAGATCAGTTTTATCCCAACAGAGGGAGAGAAAAGATGATGTTCAGAAGCACCTCAATGTACTGAAACAAAGGTAAAAAATAACAAATTTAAAAAAAAAAAAGAGGGAGGGATTTCTTTTACTCGCTTGTTTTGTACCATACTTTGGGGGCAAGCTRAAACTCTCTCTCTATAAAGCTATATATCATGTTTTATAAAAGCATTTTCAGGTTTTACTGAAATGATTGTTGTTTGGAAGCAGTTAAAAATGCTGTTAGGACTTAATTTGTGAAGCAGAAGGGTCAGAACTGGTAAAAATGTTAGGAAAATATTACTGAATGTCAGTTTATAGTCAGGGAGTGTARGGGCCAATGGAACATAAACCACACAGTCAGTGCAATAGCAAACTTGAGAATATTGGGATTTCTTGTTCCTGGTTCCTTCATCCAATTCCTACTCCACATGATTTTGGAAAACAATTCAAGACAGTTTTCTTTCTCTCTGCAGCCTTTTACTTCACTGGCATCAATTAAGTTTAAAACTAAACTGAGATTAGTTTTTTCCCCCAGAATTTTCTTTTTGCTTTGCAAAGAACTCCAAACAAGTCACTCTTTCCTTTTCCTACAATTAAAGGGTGCTGAAAAGTTTCAAGACTTTAAAGGTGCCTCCAGGAAAGCTTGGCAACCTGAAGAATATCCTGAGCCTTCAAACAGCAGAGAAACAAATGCTTGAGACAAATGAGGAATCTTTGGTACAGCTGCAGGTATGAAAAGCATGGAAGGGAAGACATTACCTTACCAGACTGCTGGCTGTGCCTGTGCTGTTGTGGAGTGTCCAGAGTTCATTGTTGTCACACACCTTTGATGCAAAACTGTGTCACTTTTTGGATGKTTTTTCAGTGACTCAGTGTGTTCTGTGGGAGAGACTCACCATCTCTCAAGTAAATTTTGTTCTGGTTTTGTGTCTGTTTTGTCTTAGGAAGAAATAACCAACGCAGAGCGATCAGCGGAGCGCATTGAGGAAAGCATACAGCAACTGCAGTACAAAATCCAGGTGCTCAAGAACCAGTTAGAGGAAGATGAAAAAGATGCCAGGAAGGTATTTCTCATAAATACTTCGTATTACTATAAGCTAGAAGAATGAGCAAACTTCCAGAGCTGTCCCAAACAGTTTCTCAGGGAGCGTCATTTAAAGAAGGCCTCATTTGCCTTTGGGAATGGATATTTTTAATCTTTCCAACTTCAATTACAGAATTAAGAAGTTTGGTTTCAGAAGTGGGATAATGACAGACAGGTTGTTTTCCTACTTGTGTGCCTGATATTTGGATTTTTTGATTGTTTTTTCTTTCTTTTCTTTCCTTTCTAGGTATTCCAGGAAAATGGCAGTGGAACGCTCCACCTCCCAGAACTCCCCAAGTGCAGTTTGCAGGCACCCATTTTGCAGGTGAGTGTGCAATATATATTTATATTTTCAGAGACACTTTGGTTATGAGGAGGAAGGCAACAAAATGTCCTTTTGTCACTTAACGTCTGCCAGAGGGGGCAATTCTGAAAATTTAGAAAATTTGAATGGGTTTTCATTTCCCTTTTTTCTTCGTCTTTTTATTGAGAACTATATGCTCATGTTTTAAAACCAGGACAAAACCCAAAAACCCTCCTCATCCCTGGAAGTGTTCAAGGCCAGATTGGATGGGGCTCTGAGCAACCTGATCTTGTGGCACCTTGTGGATGGCAGGGGGTTGGAACGAGATGGGCTTTAAGATCCCTTCCAATCCAAAACATTCTGGGRTTTTATGATTGAAAACATTACATGTCTTTTCCTAAAAACCCTGGCCTAGGGAACTTGTAATTTCTGAAATGTATCTATAACTTCTGTAGGGAAGACTCATTCTGTGACTAGGATTTTTTTTTATTTAAACTCTAGCTGGGCTGCATGAAAATGAAATTCCTGTTTCACTCAACAAAAACTGCTTTTTTATTTGTTGTCTGTCATTCTTTCCTTCTTTAGGAGGAAATTTTGAAGGTGAAGAATCAGAAGGGCCTTTTAAAGGATATGAATGCTATTCAACAGTCAGCTGACTTGAAGAACTTGCTAACCCTCATTGAAAAGACATATGAGAAGTTAGATTTGCTTTGAGAARCCAGAATATGTGGAGTCTCCATGCTGAGCTTGGAAACTGCTTTTTGTCTATTGGCCTTCCTGTAGTGCCTGCAGAATTTCTGTTAAAATATTTTCTATTAATATTAGTGTATAAATCTGTAGGTGCATTCTGGGACTCAAGCTGTTTCAGTCATCTATCAAGATTTTTGGGGTTTTTTTTGACCTGTGATGACTCCTAWTGATGATAAATCCTATTTTAAGGGAGGGAAATGGATCCTGGGTTATTTGGGTGTTTCTACCGAATACATCATTGTATTTGCACTTCTGTATCTATATCTGTAAATCACTGAAGCAATATGTCTTACCAAAGTAGCTTTTTTTTTGGGTGTTTAATCCTCTTTAAACCTGAAACAGTAAAAATAAGCTTATCTAATACTCAGTTTTAATCCCCTGTTCAGCTTTCATACTATTTCTTAATAAAAAAAAACCCTCAATTGCAGGAAATTGAATAACTTTTATCAAATGTACAGGATTTTTTTTTTTTTACATTTTCATTACTTAGTACTTTGTATTGTTTGACTTTTTTTTTTTTAATTTTCTCAGGTCAAATTGCTTGCTGGAAGACAGCAGTGCTCTTTACACTGACTTGCTACATCAACTCTTGTTCTGTTTATAAGCTGCTGGTACTCTTAATGAGGCAAGAGATAATTATTTCTGTTCTATGAGGGATTTAAACCTTCTCTGTAGTTAGAACCATGGAATATCTCAAGTTGGAAGGAACCTGTAAGGATCTCTGAGTCCCAGCTCCCTCACAGGATTCTTTAAAACATGTAGCATCAGGAAAACCAGACTAAGTATTTGCTTTATAATGGATCACATGAAAGGGAATATAATTATTTAGAAATATTTCTCAAATTTGTGATTACTTGGCAAAGGGAGCATTTACTGATCTAATCATTACCCCAAAATAATTTAATCCAGAGTATGGGTTAAAGATTTTCCTGCATGACACCTATCTTCATTTTTGTTCAGTAAAGATACACTCCTTTGCTTTTATTAAAGGTGATTTGCTGTTTGGATTTTGAACTTTCTGAAACAGGTTGATAGTTTTTTTTCAATATTTTCAAAAGTGTGGAGAAGGGCAGTGAGTAGGAGTCAGATGCAGCTTCCACACAAGGAAAGTTGAAATAGCAGTAACTGTAGAAGAAGCTTCTTCACTACAGGGCTGGAYAATTACAGAGGCAAGGAATATTTAATTTAATTTTTTTACCCCAACACTGTGATTTATGATAGGCTTGCTGTGGAAGTTGTTACTTTGGTATTGTCATGCACACATAAACAGGGCAACATGAACCAGGGAACACAAATCCAGACATTTAGGATGTGGTCTTAGCTCAGCTTGATTGTGCATCTTTTGGACAGAGATGCAGAATGATCCCATTGTGGGTTTTGATGAGACTTGAGGCCTCTTTCAGAAGCTTCACTGCTGATCTGTGTATGTGGAGCTGTGACCTTGTGTGATTAGACCTGGGAGCACTTGAAACTTAAGTTTTACAAACCTTAAGTAGGTAAAACATTTTCCATGTGTGGATGCTTTATTTACCGAGTTTATCCATTCCAAGAATACTTGGGAAAACCTTAATGACCCTCTGAATTCAGGTCAACTTGGCTAAAGGTTTCTCCTGMGAAAAGATCTACAAGAAGTGCAGAACTCAGATTTCTTTGCGCACAGGAGTGGAAGGAGTAGGGAGAAGAGCCAAGGGAAGAAGCTTCCAAGAGGCACTGGAGAACATCAGGACATCCAACTCAGCTTCAAACCCATCTGAGTGCCAAGGTCACACAGCCCTTCTGTTCCGCCCATCTGAAATTCTGAACATCCCACATTTACCACAAAGGCACCCACATCTCATACAACCTAAGCACAGCTTCACAGTCCACGTATCTTTTTGGAAAAACCTGGACTTGGGAGCATTTTTTTGGTTATGATTTCAACAAACTGATTACTGAGTGAAAATGGCAGCAAGAATAAGAAAAYTGAGGGTCTGTGTTACTTAGCCCAGATCAGGTGATCTGATGGATTAATCCATGCACCATCAAATATTTCACACTTCTTGTCCATTTCTTCCCTCCCCCAATAACTAAAAAATAAAAGAACACCATTTTGCTTTAGAARTACTGGAAACCTTCATTGAAATATGGATTTTTTTTTTTTGTCAAAGAATTGAGAAGAGACATGCGATGGAAAAGTAATTTAAACATATTAAAAACAATAGATGCTGATTAGAGCTCTAGGAACGTGCTACAGCACACATTTTATAGGGTTTGGGGATGATATTAAATGAAATGGCAGGGCTGAGATCCAGGTCTGAGTTGGAAACTCCAGGTGGAGGTTGGAAGTTGAACCTCTGCAGGAGACTGGTGAAGAAGAGGAAGAGCTCCATTTTGGCAAGAGTCTCTCCAGCACAGATCCTCCGCCCTGGAACGAAATGCAGAACAACCACAAGAAAATCAGTGAGAGCTGCTTCCTCAATATTAGAAGAAAACAGCCCTCTGAGCAGCATTTTTCTGAGAAAACAGTGAGATTCAGTGCGAATCCAGAACACTTGAAATATCACATCCCAGGTATGAATAAAAAAACCACAGATTTTAAGTCTGTTGGGTACAAATTATCAGAGAGAGAGGAATTTTGATCTTCAGAGATATCATCACAAAGGTGATGTTTTTTTCTTTTCCTTTGTCTAAGTGCTTGCAGCATTTGGGCAGAAATTTATGGAAATGCAGTCTGAATTCTTTAACTCCAGTTTTCAATAAAATGGGACTTTTTTTTCTACATTTTTACATTTTTCCGCTACTTGGCTCAATTTTTGGAACCCAGACCAACTGGTTCAGTCTAGAATTTGGCTTTATTAGTCCAGTCATAGGCAATTTTATATTAAAATTTGTCAGAAAATTCCTTGAAGACTCAAAAATGAAGCTGGAGTGGGACTGAAGAGGAAGCTGGGAGAAATATTCTATGTATATTCAAAAGTGCTGTCAGTATATGTTTTTCTCAGTTCTGTCAAATTCAGTAGCTTGTAAACAKAACCACAGCATGATAATTCAAGGCCAAAACTAGCAAAAACCTGAACTAAAATTTGGTTTTGATTCCCTGTATGACAGAAAGTGGAAAATGAAGAGCTATTGCATGRCTGTGATATGAAATAAGCCCTCCAGGGAATGCCCAGACCTGAAACTTCCTGAATGYACTTTCATCTGGGACATCTGAAATAGAAGGCCTTGGAATTGGAAGTATAAATTCTTCTACAAAAAAAAAGGGAATATTTACTGTGTACTGGATGGAGATTATGACAAGAAAAAAATCTTATTCAAAGATTGTGCAGAATTGAAAACATACAAATAGGGTCTATAAAAGATGGTGAGTGTTGTAGATGTAGATATATGATAGATAATTTAGGCAGAGACTGATGTATGAGAATTTTAAARAGCAATTACAGAGCCTGCAAAGCAGGAGAAATGCCAGAGAAGGTGCTGGTGTGTAAATCCAGGTGAATGTCACACTCTGGGGAAGCCTCAAAAGGCAACCTCCTTCTGTCCTTTGATTTTTCAGGATTTGGGGTTTTATATGGCAACTCCTTGTTGTCACACTGTATGAAATCTTGACCCAGCCGACGTGATTTGTGATTTTTTAAAAGGGAGATGAAAAARTGAAGCAGGAAATATACAGAAGCATCTTTGCTGTTTGCTTTGTGTAAGTGCAAAAGAGAAAGCACCTGCTGAAAAAGGCATGAAAGCATCTCTCTTCACAAATTTCCCATTGGCATCAAGGAAGTGCTCTGGGTAGAACATGTCTGGTTTCTCCCACTGCGACTCATCTTTCAGGACTGAAGCCAGCAAAGGGATGATGTAGGTTCCCTGCAAAACAGCACAGAGGAATGAATCCCTGGACAAATTCAGAAAGAGGAAATGTCGAATGAATCAATCCTGTCGGCACCCCACCTTGGGAATGAAATAGCCTTTGAGGGTGACRTCTGCAGCAGTCTCATGAGGCAAATCCAGTGGCAGGATGTTGGCAAACCTCTGAATTTCATGGATGACGGCGTCTGTGTATGGCATCTGCGCTCGGTGCTCTATCCGAGGCGGGTTGGACCCTATCACTTGCTCTATCTCTTCTTGGACCTTTTCTGAAGAAAGAATCAACTCTAAGATACAAAGGCTCTTTTGCCCCTGAGGCACACTGTGCTTCACTAATGTAAATTATAATAAATCTGGAATGCAAACCATTAATTCTCCAAATACCTTTTTTCATTTTTCCTTTCAGAAATAATGGAAGGTGAACAGGGCCACAATGTTTGATTGATCCTTTACCAACAAGAAACCTAACAACTTTTTTTCTGCCCTCCCTTCTGTCTAAAGATCCTTGTTCTGCCCAAGGATTTTCTCAAAACCCGCATTTGGCTCCAAACAACCCTGTGCCATCAGCTGGAATGGAGATGTCAGACAAAGGGCAATTTCCTGAATCTTCTCAGGGCCCTAAAGCCTCAGTAAAGTCCATTAAACATCTGCACAGGCCTTTGATTTATGGACAGCTTTCAAGGAAAACAGAAAAGTTTCATTATCCAACACAGAACAGCTCTTTTCTTATTAATTAACGAGATTTTCCTGAGTGAAGGGCCTGGCCTGTATGAACTCTGTGTTCTTTTCCTGACTGATCAATGTGACCCTCTGAACCACAGGGCACAGGGATGATAATTGGCTGAAAATCTCTGCTTTTTGTAATTTGGCCTATTAACAGAACTCCAGGTTAATGTTTGGTCCCTAATGCCCTGAGTGAACAGTATCTACCACAAAACCACTTACTCTGGATTTCAGGGTACTTTAGCATCAGCAGAAAGCCCCAGTACAGTGTGGTRGAAATTGTCTCAACACCAGCAGTAAACAAATTGCTCATCAAGCTTAGCAAGTTGCCGTTATGGAAATACCCATTGGTAGTGGATTTCTCCTGGAAAAAGTGGTTGAGATGAAAGGATGAAAACTTAAARCTTTCCATGTGAAAATGCAATTTATGGTGATAAACATTTGGTAAGAAATAAATCCTGTATTTAAAAAAATTTGAAAGACAAGGCTTGTGCCTGAGAAGAATGTTCTGTATTTACTGGGGCCAGCTGCAAGGAGAGCTACTTTCCCCATAGAAAAGGTTACCCAGACATATCAGAGACCCCAAAGAAGAGTCCCAGTAAAGCCCAGCTAGTGATTTTGTTCTGTAATGCATTATGTTAAAAGAGCCAGAAGGTCTGGGACATCAGAGAGAGCAAATAAAAAGATGCAGCCTTGGTAAATATATTGATACTGTCTGAAGAAAATGAATAAGGATAAATGTTTGCTGATTAAAAGAGGTTGAAATTTCAACAGCGTGAAGTATCTGTTCAACTCTACCACTTTGTTACAGATGTTTTCTCAWAGACAGCTCCCCTAAAGAAATTTGGCTGTAATTATAAGAACTGAAAGGAAAATGTAAATGTCTTCATAGAAMCATAAAATTTGGAATCAACAAGACAAAATTCAGT